GACGTCAGAAGCGAGAAAATGCACAATAAAAATTCCTGCAAAATACATTCGGATGGAAACGTTTTTCACTGGAACGACAATTTGCAATCAATCGAATAGACTTATAAAATATAAAGTATACTGAAAACTATATCTTTTTATTTGGGGGAGAGAAATTACATTATATTTATTTGTATATTTATTAATGGTTGTCACAGTTGTAAACATAGATTTTCATTATTTTTAGCAACCATCTCATTATTTGGTCATTTGTAATATAATGGGATAATTTATTTCCTGATTTACGATTATTTACTGATCAACGAAACAAGAAGGGAACTTTTGATACATATTTTAGAAGTCGATTGTAAGCGCTCCGTTCTACTGAAATATATTTTCATTTTAACAGATTTTTATTTTAATATGTTTTGCAAGAATTTTTTGTGCATCTTCTCGCTTCTGACGTCACAATCTGCTGCAGCAGTAGTGGTGAGCTGACAGGTGGCTTAAAGCCCGTGTCAGACGCACGTATTGGAGATTGAGGATTGCGAATTTGAGATTAGAATTCAATTAAAATGGAACTGGGGATGAAAATTATAAAGATTATCCGATTTTGGTCGAATTGTAATCTTCGATTCGCAATTCTCGATTTCCTGGTGCGTGACATCTGCAGGCTTTATAATAAGTTTCCTTTCGCTCGCGACGCGCGAGATTCGCTCGCGATTGTTTCGTCGTTCGAAAGATCGTCCGAAAGTTTCACGAGCGATTTAACGCAAACTGTGTCTCGCTCTCCGAAGTCGATCTGCTCGAATTGTCCGAATATCGGAAAATTCCAAGCGGTAGCGGCAGATATACCGCACGCACACACATGGAGGACTGTTACGCTTTAATCTTGCGTGCAAGTATATGCTTTAATCAACCTAACTTCTCTCCGTCAAGTCCGAATAAATAAAGCAATCAACATGATGGGTGCACTGTAATCACACACGCGAATAACATGAAAAATACCACGTCGCATGCATTACAGACGGACAGATGAGGACGAATTTAATTTCCTTTTACTGCCACGTGAAAAATTAAAGCCAACAATTCCGCGCGGGGAGAGAGAGAGAGAAGAGAGACTGAGTCGACAAGGCACACAGGGGATA